CCGTTCATGATAGAGAGACGTATACGCGTTATTTATTGAAAAAAAAATTTCGTCAACAACTGCAGGGTCCTTTTCAACACGAGGCATTTTTTGTGCCTAATAAAAAAAAATACCTTTTCAGTGTTGGTTGTAGTAGAGCTAGACATTGTAAAGTAAGATTTTACGTGTAATTGAAGTAAGTGTTTATTAATATCTAGAAATAAACATCACCAATCGATGCGAAAGAAGTTTATGGAGGGAGTCAGAAAAGATTATGAGTAACTAGTCATCAGTGGCATTTTTGACGATATGTACGAACTCCATCGCTGTTATATACTTTCAGTCAACATACTCAAATGAGATTATAAGCAGAATGTTCATCGAAAAGCGGATGTGTAGCTTATAGAAGATAAAATATTTATTTAAATTAAACCGTTAAAAAAAAGAAACCATTATTGGCTTCTCTAGCAAAAAAAGTAAATGTGTTTTTTTCTCTGATAATTATTACTTGTGATTTTATAAACATACTTGACAAGGGAAAACATAAGAATGAGACAATCGATGATTGTTATCAGTATGAATAGCATTGTAAGAAATTTGAAATAATCCAGACATCTTCTCCAATGATTCTGAAGAAAAAAACGATCAATTTGAGTTTTATTTAAAAAGGTTCTTTGAGCACATTTTTTTCTCCGTTGTCTTGAAAGCGATCAAACTTTGCCCGTGCTCCAGATTTGGAAGAAATACTTCGTTCGAAATATATGACACTGTATCTGGCAGACATATGAGAAGAAGAAAGAATCATAAGTGACTTCTTATAAACACAAAGCCATTGTTTGTTGAAGAACATATAAATAGAATTGTCTATAGATGTATAGCAAAATAAAAGTAAAAGAGATATTAGAATTAGAAGATCAATGATGGCACACTATCTATCACACTAACACAACATAAAGAAGTTTCCGTAACAGAATAAAAAGTATATCGAGACGAAATCTTTTAATACCGTGTTTGTACGGAAAAAAATTTGTTTTTTATTATTTTCTTTGGTGGACGATGTAATGAAAAAAATTCATCATCGGAAGATTCTTTTCAATTTAGCTACCTGGCAATACCTTCGAAATTTCAATGCCATGTAGACAATCAAAATGATATTATTGGAGTGAGCGTAAAAGGTGGAGACAGAAGTACTAATTACCTCGAAAGGATCTGCTCAAATTAGGAGCAAAAATCAAAAAAAAGATTTTCCAACAAATATAGATATGTTCTATTCCTCTCTTTATTTCTCTCTTCCTTTGAACGCTTTTTCTTTTCATTCGGTTACAGAAACATATCTATTGATGAACTTGTCCATATATCACATGTATAGCTAATATGAGAAGGAGAACAACACAATAAATTATCATCTGATGTTGAATTACAAATAAATGTCATTGAGAAGTGAAATTTGCCTACTTAATATCTTTGTTCGATTGACACTTCTTCTAAACTTGTGACATTTAAATATAAATGATTAACTTCTGAATAAACAGTAATAGAATCAAACACGGTTTCGAAAAATAGAACATTCGATCGATTTAGATGAAGATCACCAAGAAAATGCTGTAATGAATAACGAGAATACTCAAGAACTGATAAATATTTTTGTCGAACATGTTTGACGAGTTCATCAGATGATCAATAAAAATCAAATGGTAGATGATATGGTAATGTTGAAACAAACATTTCAATCATATTCTATAACTGACTTCAATATTGTATTTTAATTTCTTTCGTCATATATTTCCTTGTTCAGTTAACATTATATTGAAAATTTTTTTTCGATATCCAATATGAGCTCTGAAATGAAGCGAGCGCATTGTAAACGTCAGCTTTTTCTACGCGAAATGTAGTTGTTCGAAGAGTAAAATGAGTTAGTAATGGCAATGATGTTTCCAATAAGATCTTCCATGCATTTCCATCAAAAATTTCACTATGTGCTTTAATTTCAAGACGATTTAAAATAGGCATTGAATTAAAATATTCTGTCCACATATCCATCTTTATGGAACTGTCGTGAGCAAAATATAAGACCAGTGTACGAAGTGTAGACATTGATTTTATATTCTTTTTTGGATTCGTTTCTGTTTCATCATAATAAGAATATATTCTATTGATTAACTCAACATCAAGATATTTAAGATGGAGGAGCACAATGGAAAATATATTGTAAATGTTGAAATCGAAAATGTATACCGGAAATAGTCAAATGTTCAATATTTGATGAGACGTTCGCCAAATCACTCCAATTTATAAATATAATATTGATCATAAGAGAAAATCGCTTGAGTGATTTTAAGCGAAAAAAATCAACAATAACATTTCCTAATGATGATCTATTATCTGTGTTCATATCTTTGATTGATAAAGTGTCAATAGTCGTTTGCAATATTGAATTAAGAGCTCTTTCAACAATTTCTCGATCGATACCTTCACCGGTAAAATGAAAATAAAGTATTCGAAGTTGTTTAAATAATTCAAACGATGGATAGAAAGAAAGAAAAACATAAACTTGACGAGGTGTATCTTGTTCTGATTTGGATAATTCTTCTATTTTGTCAAGATAGGCTGGTAGAAGACCCATACAAAATCGAAAGTCATCTTTTTGACATTGAATAAAATCAAAACGAAATCGTTGACATTGAGTAATGAGTGCATTGAAACGTTGATTGAGTTAAAAACCAAAAGCTCTTAGTAGATCTACTCCATCAATATATTTTTCAATAATATCCATTAATATTTCGTTCTGAAATGATTCAAGTTTTGAAAGTGACATTTGTGTGAAAAAAAAATAATAGTAAAAAATCGACAAGTGACGATGAAATGTTTTTGAAACGGTGTTGTGTTGATTTGATTGTTTTCTTTTGATAAGAAAAGAAGCATTATCTGAAGAAAAAACATCATTTGCATAATGATATTGAAATTTCGAATGACGATTTGTTGTTTTTCTTTTTTTGGCATAATGCACCTTAGTTTGCGTTTATTTGTACATCAACAAACCTTTTACAAGTGTCCACGAAACATGAAGAATATTTTTGAACTAGTCATTCGAATAATTATATATAGATGTGCTTATCATAAAAAGATCGAGAAAGGAAGTGAATCATAAAGAAAGAAAAAAACTTTTGATATGGTTTATTGTACGATAATGCTTTTGAATGAAGCAATTGACAGTTTGACAGTATTATTTTATCTGAAATGGAAATACTTCGATGAAAAAAATCATAAGGAAACTGGAAGTCGTACTAGTTTTTGCAGGGACGGACAAGTCAAGTCATTTTTTTACTTGAAGATTTTATGAATGCACTATGACTTGTCTTCAGTTGCGTTGACACTAGTTCATATTAGAGATATCGAGAGAATTTTTATGCACTTGATTTTTTTTTCATTCCTAATTTGAAATGTAAAAGAAGAATACAGATAAAAAATAGTAAATATCTTTATAAACTAAATTCAACATCAAAATAAAATTGAACCTTTTCCAACTTGTATTGATCATTTCGCTGCTCAATGATATACAGCTTTTTTTATGTAATGTTTTTGCATTATTGTGATGCTTTATTATAAACTCATTTTCTTTTGTAAAGAACGAAAGCTTTGGTATTTTGATCTTTTTACAAAGAGTAGAATATTTTTAAAAATCTTTCAATGTAATCCATACAAGATTAAAATATAAAACTTCATTGTTTCTGTCAGTCATGGTCTATGGGACGACAAGAGAGATGATTTAGTTTTCTCGTGACATCCTTCAACATTCATTTCGTTAATTACTTATTAATGGAGCTATTCTTTAGATATTTGTGAGTTATTAGGTAGTTATTTAAATAATGAGCTCTTGCTAATGGCATGTTGAAATGTCTATCAAGAGCTGTGAGGATGGCACAGTGTGGATCGACGGGGACATTTGGCTAAAAATGAAAATAGCACTTTTTCAAGATTTAAATATAGGGAAATATAAACCTTCAAGGAAACTAGAAAGCTAGTTGCTCAAAAACTAGCTTGAAAATCATGATGTCACTAGAAAAAATGATATCTGATAAAATTAAATTGTTCAACAGACAAATCAAGTATATTTTCTGATTCTGTCAGCCGAGTTCTATATAATCGTAAAAAATATTTTTTCATTTGCATGTTTAACTTCTGAGAAAAAAATTATTTCTTTTCTACAGTGTCATCGGAACAGCATGTCCCGTAAAATGAGCGATCCAATATCCAAACTTTTTCAAATTGTGCCTGAATATTCTTCTATCTACTATCTCTAATCCGTGTTTTTTTTTCAAGTATCTTTTAGTTTTTCGTACTTTGGAAAAATATCTAATCGACAAAAATAGTATATTCAGAATCAGAGCATTAAACTACATTGAATAATGTTCTACACAAAGGAACTTTGAAGAAGAAATTTTGTCGAAAAAATGAGGGCGAGTCTCCTTCAGGCATTTTTTATCGAAATAATTTTCTTCTATAAAGCACTTTTTTGCGTCATATCCAATCATTTGTTAGCAAAAAGCAAGAAAGTCACATATTGGTCTGCCATCCCAAAATGCATACCATATGGGAGGAGTAGTGTAAAATATTTTTGGACATTCAGACACGTACTATGAATATTTTCTTTTTCTTTTTCAAACCACGTTCGGCGAAATTTCGAGGTTTAGTTTGTTTTGGCCAACATTTTTTTATTACGAAATGAACTGAATCAATCAGTTGTTGAGAAAATCGAAGATAATGCTATCTGAACAGATTGTTATTTCTGGAACAGTAATATGAACGTTGTTACATTTTCGAAGTGCCATTTCTATTGAACTTCGTGTTTTGTTTTTCTTTTTTTTTTCTATTCTACTTAGGGATGCAACGGTAAAATCGGTAAGCACATGACAAACCGACAGTGATAATCAGTGTATCAACATCGGCAGCTGCTCTAAGCATAAAGATATCTGAATAACGCAAAACTCGATCATTGCTATAGATGTCTAATGCGTTCATCTGCTTCATCGGTTTTAACAATGATGCTTAAAATTCCATTCCTAATGGTACTTATTAAAATACAATGTGTTTAAAAGGAAAAACTTTGTTGTTTATAAAATGTATGTTTATTCATATGTATTTTTGATATATTTATGCAATGAACTGTTATTTAACAAAGGAAAAAAGGAAGCAATATATTTGAACAAGAAGGCAATTCCTAGAATTTTGTGTATTTTATACTGAACGTTCAAGGAGAAGAAGGTGTTCGATGAATTTGAACAAACCTGAATGATCTGGTGACCATTCAATTGAAAACATAAACAAAAAGATCTTTTTAGCGAAAAAAGTGCACGAAACACATAAGAACGAAAGAAAATTTTGACGAAGGTACATAACAGCGAAGAGTAAAGTTGTGATATACAAAGGAGTGCAAAAACAATAGCGAAAATCAACATCGTGGACGGCATTTCGGCGAATTTTTTTATCTTGACAAAATTTGATTGTTTATGTTTGACGATGATTCATCGTGGTGGGTGTGTGTATAAGTCATAGGCCTTATTCGTGCTGAACTTTTCGACCTATTAATCTATTTTGGGAGTGTGCATATCAATCTTTTCTTCACTAACCAACATTCGCACATCCCCTCTACATTCGTAGCTTAAAGTTTGAATTTCTCATTTTCATACATGATTTTTCTACTTCATTTTTTTGTATCTCTCGATATCTATGTATTAAATTTTGTTCTATTTAGCTTTACATTTCGCTGTTTTGTCGTTCGCAATTAACGTAAAATTTCTTTTACTATCACAACTTTTTCACGAAAAAAAAATATGACTTTTATCGTAACGTTCTTTTTATTGATGGCTCCTAATGATATGTTAGAAAATTATACTTGAGCTGTTATATTAAATCTATTTTGACTCATTTCAAATCATGAAAAATTCATGGATATCATAAAACGTGCTGTAAATGATAGAGAAAATTTTATAGATACATTTATATCATGGACAATGAAAAGTAGAAAACAATCAGCAAATGATATTTTAAAAAATCTTAATAGGTAAAAATTAATATAATCTATTTATATAATATAATAACAAAGTATTTTCTATACTATGCAAATTAAATATGAAGTAAGTTGAAAATTTTATAAGACAGATTCATAAAGCGATACACATGATTGTGTTTTATGAATTAAATAATAATTATTATGCTTTGTATAGCTGTATAAATAAATTTCTTCGCAATTACTAAATAAAATTGTTCTTGAAAATATGTTCTTGCCGATATTCTTCACATTTTATAAAAATAGAAAGATATACA